TCCTATTGACTGTTTGAATCATGTCATGTTCCTTTGCAGATATCTGATGTATAATGCGATCAACGTGAGTATGGTGATGGATTTGAGAACGAAGGCTACCAAACATACCATTATTATTTAGGAGAAAACGGGATTTTAGGATGCTCCAAAGGGACGTTTTTTTGGACTTGGGAAACGACTTTGGTGTAAATTCTGACAGGTGATGCTTGAAGGTGAGCCCAATAGTTTGTTGCAGTAGATATTGCGATAAAACGGGAAATTCCATAAGGCCGAAAAATGCGATTCCAAAATATTGGGCCCTTTTTTTCCTAATAGGATATCTAGTATGCAAATGAAATTTAAAGTTATCTAGATTCTCAATAGCACTATGGAGTAAGGAAGATTGAGCATTTGATAAAACCATCCCTTCTGGTACTGGAGAGCACCAACTTTTAAGGTTGGTATAACAGCCAAGTAAACGAAGATCCGCCAGCATTCGAGTCTGTCGGTTGGCTGCGAGATTCATTTCGCAAGAAAGAAAATCCAGCAAAGTGACATTTAGCCGAGATGATACATTTCTGTCTTTTGATAGAAAGTGCCCGGAAGTAATGGCATATTCACCTGTTTTGGAGTTAGGTAGAGGCGATACAGGGAAGAAACTGCAAGGTTGGTAAGTGCGAGGAATAGATATTCGTTGTCCCGAACAAGAAAGACGAGCTCCACTCCAAGTAGCTCCTCTACGGACGTGCAACCACTCGCTAAGATAGCGGGAAGTTGGTTCACGCAGCAGCGTTATGAAATAATACCTCAAACAAAAAAATAGCACATTGAAAAATATGAGCAACCAATTAGGCTTAAGGATGGAGCAAATAATACTAGCACAAATAGAATTGAAAAAGTGACATGACATAATTTTTCTCAATCTAGCTCGAGTTAAGGAGGGTAAAGGAAGGCTGGTAATAGGAAGAAAATAAAATGGACGCTTTGAATCCAAATATAAAATGCACTGAGACAGGGATGATAGAAAAATGCGTGCACAGCCCACCGAATAAATTATATTTTATTCTAAAACCTTGAGTAAATAAAGAGTATGTGTTCCTCCAAAATCTGAAAAGCACACTGAAAAACCTAAAGAATTAGTTAAGGGATAAAAATACGTCCAAAACATGTGACTGGCACTGAAACATATCAAGTCAAAATAATTTAAAATTAAGCGATATATTTTTATATGTGAAAGTTTTTAATAAAATTCTAGATTATAATTAATTCATTTAAACATAGAAAGTGTAGAAATAAAAGGTAGACTGAACTAAGTCGTCTACAAAGTCAGTGAGGATAAAAATATGGAAATTCAAGAAGTGAAATAGTGTGCTGGCTATAGACTAAACAAGAAATGTTGCCATTTCAAAGTGTATTAAGCAGACTGCGACAAGCTTTAGTCAAGAGAACCTTCACAAAAGAATCGTTCTAATAAATTGTGTAGATTATGAGTAACAGCTAATCGAAAAAGCAAGTCCCGGATAAATTGTTTGCTAAATTTTGGAGAATCGTCAGGGTCATATTAGACACCAGCCTCGGGGAAATCATTGCTAATATTGTATGGTCCAAAGTGTTATAGATGACACCACACAAATAATTCAATATAATTATTTTTGTCATGATATGAAGACCAAAATCGTGCGGCCTTTAGTATAATCGCGATCTCTTTTCGTTGTGTAGAAATTTTGTCTTGCTTTCGCAACTTGATGATAGTCAGGACCTAGAGGAACACACATCGCCCAGAATACATATTACACATGATAATTATTAGTGGGAATGTGAACTATGTACGTTCCCAGGCGTTTCGCCGGCATCGTCAGTAAGCCATGACATTCTTAGCACCACACTAGAATTCTTTAAGAACATAAGTGATGTTGATCCTATGACCAATTGCCTGCTAAATAGTTGTGGCATCTCTCCGTGTCCTGGTGCACTCACCTATACGATATCCTCATAGCACCTTTTCACTATCACAATATTTTATTTGCTTATATAAGTACAGTTAAGGTGCCCTTTTGAGCATATTTAGTGTAACATATTCACATTGTACCCTACTTTGCCGAGGGAGAAATTGAGCTTTCTAGAATTTATGTCAATTTCCAGTCGAGTTTTTAATTCCTATTTTGTGCTTAAGCAAACTCAGAGAGGATCAGAGAACAAGATCAACAAAAAGAAGACGACAATCGGAAACCAAGATGAGACGTCAACAGTGAGTCTATTCAAATCAAGTAGAACTATCACTAGTCCATTTGACAAGTTATAATATGCTATTAAGAATGGCAAGGCTCGATGATGCCGGCAAAGCATCCTAAAATGTACGAAGTTCACGATCCGACTGAAGATTATCATGCATACCATGGCAAGGTTCGTTCCTCTAGGTCGTCGCGAAAACAAGATCAAACTACATTTATTTAAAGTTAGTAAAAAGTTGATATATACATATATTGATAACGCCTACCACTAAAGGATGAAATTCATTTGTGAAAAGAAAATAAGCTATCAGAGCAAGGAAAATATCCTTACTGGCGCTGGTCATGTGTCCCATCAATTTTTGTTAATTTATGATCGATACATTCTATAAGCTCCGTAAAATCAGCATGAAGACCACATGACCATCCCGTAGAGAACCTAAATGAAATATTAAATAAGACCACTTACCTGCTAAATATCCAGGTATTTCCACTGGAATTCCGACAGGAACATCTACGAGTTCCATGTGTACATAAGCAGGTTTTGTTAATGAAGCCGCTTCTAACAAGTCTGTCTTCATAAAGGCTTCCACCAGTCTTTTGTATATGAATAAATGCTAGGACTGTATTATTCAGTATGATAATGTTTTTTGATTCATTATATATCATAGGTAGATTAAAAGGAAAATCCACCAATTTTGATAATTTCCCATTATATATATGGAGGCCATATTTATCGAGTTTGCTGTACAAGATAGAAAAGGTAATGAAAAATAATATAAGGAACAAAGGTATAATATTACTAAGGCCTGACAATCTTAAAATGTGAAGCATATCCAAAGTTTGTTACATTATATATAATTGCATATACAAAGATTTAAGATAATGCAATAAATATGTATATAAAATGGGAATAGAGCAGAGAGGTGAAAGTGAATCGACAGGGGAAAAATTACAAATCATGAGGGCGAAAAGATAAAGAATAAAGCGTAGAAGAAAGTCACTTCGTTAATTATGCGATTAATTGAGTTATGATAAATTACAAAGAAAAAAATTAGTAAATCTTTGCGTAATTAGACTATATTTAAAATTTATTTGTAATAGTTTAGTGATTTATGAACACAAGCTAAGTGTTAATACATAAAATGTAATTAATATTGGTTAGTCCTATTTTTTGAAATCTGCCTTTGAAAAGAATAGAGGCTTGGGGAGTGTACCCAGTTCGGCTTTCCCTGCTACAATATTCTTGATAATATTAGGCTTCAGACCTATACCTCGTCTGAAAAAACCCGAGGTCTATAGGCTTTTGTAAAAAGAATTCATCCGTATTCAAACAGACACAATTGTAGAGCACTTGTTTTCTGTATATATATATATATATATATCACAGAATTGTTAAAGGATTTTCAACTAGTGATATTTTGCTACAAGACCACTATAAGGCATAATTTTAATTATTTACGAAGAGTTTAGATATGACTGTTGATCTTACTTCCATTTCGAGTGAAAGTGTTGGGTGAAGAGATTCGAAAGTCGGTTCCACCAGAAGACGACGGCGGATTCCTCTTGATCAGCTGGATTGGCTTTACTGGAAGACTAATTCTGACGCTGTTTCCGAGGTAATCTCCTTCGCTTCCAGTTAAAAGATGCTAAGCTTTCGTCCATCATGTGACGGACATAATCAGAGCGAGGTAACATCGTCACAACAAATTTAAGCTAACGAGTCAAGAAAATTCACTGGTAAACCCCTAAAAAGTGGAATATATACTCTACAGCTGGTCTCTTTGATCAAGTATAAAGAGATTTGATTATTTATGGTCGATAGCTAAAAATAATGTGAAATTATATACACATATTATACTCTAATAATCCTATAATTTCACTTCTCCAAATTTAATATTCTTTTATTCATATTTAAACTAAGAAATATATGTCATTAGATGCTATTTTAAAAACAAATTTTGA